ATGTTCCTTCTTTCAGCCACAGGAATTCCCATTTTTAACCCTCAATTAGAATACTTCCCTTTTATCATAGGTGAAATATTTGAAATAATTTCCTATGACAGGACACAGGAAAATTTGCTTGAGTAAGAGAATTCCCCAACATTTCTTACCATTCCCACACCAGCACACCATTTGTCTTCATCTTTTGCATCTCCTTCATACTTTGGGTTCTATGGTTGAACCTTGAACGAGCTGGGGAACACAAACATGGCAGCATTGCCCACTACATTTTCTTTACAGTCAGGACTGCATTGTTTGTCATCCTCACTGTCATAGCTGTCTATCCACACTTGGTCCTTTTGGGGTGATGTCTTTTTTTTGTGTGGTTTGTGTATATCAGGATGGGATTTCAATAAAAATCAAGCGTAACCTGTTAGCAGGTGGTGAATGGTCACTCAAAAGAGCTCTGGAAAATTAGGAGTGAAGACTGAAATGTCTGGATGTACCACAGAGCTGAATTGTGGGTGTCCACACCCAAAGGCATTAAGCTGTTCCCAAATCAGTCTCTGTTTTAGGATGGCCCCATATCCATAGCAACTCACCTCAAAATTCTTCTACTGGAAACCCAAGTGGTTCAGCAGCTACAGCTGCTTTAGTTCAGGGAAGAGAGGAGGCAGGAGCTGGGGCTGCCCGCTCCTCAGGCTACACAAGCACATCCCTGCTGCTCCTGGCCAGCTCTGTGCTGGCCACCTCTGTGAGCCCTGCCCGAGCACTGAGCATTCTGGCCATCACACATTTCTCTGTGCTTGTGTTTGTGCTGCAGACTCCTGATTTTACAAAGCATGGGAAAACTTTTGAGATACTGGAAGTGTTGAGGAGCTGAGATGAAAACTGTGGATGAAAACTGATGCCCACTGGCGATGTAGGTCAGTGTAAGGAGGAAATTCTAATGCTTTTTTAACCAAACTTCAGTTTCTTTGGGTATGTCTGTGTTTTCCATGTTTTGCCAAGCACAAGAGTTTGCAGAGACCAGCACTGACAGCTTCTTTGACATGGAAGGCCATCTTTGACATCTTCCACTTGAGTCAATCGCCTGCAGAGACACCTGGCCAGACACCTTCCCACCACCATTTCACATATCCAGGGACTATCTGTGCCTTCTCTGTACTCATAGGCCTGGGACCACAGCTGGTCCCCAAACAGAGCCTCTGATCTCTGATACCTCATGAACTCACCCCAAGCTGGGCTGGCGGCTTTGGGATTTCTCCTCTGCTCAGCTATTTTCACAAAATGCATTGAAAGCTTACCAGCTTAGCTTACCATGTCAGTTCTCTGACATGTTTGATTCCTTTCAGCCAATGTATTCAGCAGAGGGAGCATGGACAGTGAATTACTGGATATTTTTGTGTGGGAAATTGGTATAAGTATACATCAGTTTCCTGCCTTTGTGAAGTTGTGCTTCATTCCTGTTTTCAAGCCTGTGTTGTCTTCCTGTGCATGGTCTGAATCAGTTAATATCTAATTGCAGATAATTTTCATAAAAATAGGTGCCTACTCTCCCTGTTTTCCAGTTTCCAGGTGGCTCCATGGTGGCTGCTTGGCTGCTGCCTGCCCTGCTGCTAATGTTCCTGTTTTCCTCCCCAGCTTGTGTGGCTGCCCTGGCATGTTGCTGGGACAGGGAGCAGTGACGCAGGGTCTCCTGGAAGCCCATGGATGGGCCAAGTAAAACACAGCTGGGCATCATCCCAAGTGCCTCAAAGACTGCTGCACCGAGTAGGTTCCATTGTCTCAGACATCTCATTGTACTTAATAGCAATGGAGGTGTCTGTATCGCCCTCATTTACAGCAAGCTAGTGACTGGGGCCATGAAAGGGAGGAGTCTGGGGCTAGACATGCCTACAATTCCTCAGGGTAGGAATTGCTGCTTATCAGAAGCAATTTTGGAAAGGTATTTCAGGTGTGGCTTCCGTGATGGAGACAATTTCACACTGGTGGAAGCCATCCCAGGGGTGTGTGACAGCACTTGGTGGCCCTGACACTTCCCCAGCCGCATGCCCCTGGCACTGCTCCAGCCTACTTGCTGCCTTGCTTCCCTGCCACATGCAAGACAAGAAAATGTTGGCGTGACTGATAAACCCATCCTCCTTATCACGTTCATCTTGGTATGGATCCTAGCAGGGAGGCAGTGAGTGGGATGGTGAGTTCAAAGGTGGCTAGCCAAAAAGTAGACATCTCAATAATTTGCCTTGTTATTGCTACCACAGTTAACCCTTTGGCTGCTGGCTCTGGAGTAGGGTATCTGTGAGGCTCTGTTTGTCTCTCGGGCTCATGGCTCAAGCTATCACTGGTGTTTCTGTTAGGTGAGACCTTTGCTTGCAGCCAGTTTTGCCTTTACTGGTAGCAGTTTCTTTTTTTCCTCTTTCATGAAAGGTTGCTGCTCCCAGTAAGAGGCAGGGCCATGCATGCCTGACCGTGCCCATGAGGTGAAGGGCAGGGCTCATGCTTCAGGCTGGCATGACGTGGAGCATAAAACAAAACCGTAGTTGGGGAGGCATGGCCAGCAAGAGCATGAGACTCACAGCCCCTCTGGGCAGGGTTAGACTGGGCAGACACCTGGCAGAGAGAGTGTCTGCCAGGTGTCCAGGTTAGGGTGCAACCCAGGGCATTAAAAGTCTGGGTGTGTGAGAGCTGGAGCTGCTCTTTGAGTTAGAGATCTTAAAGATCTTTGTATGTTGGACAACCGTGGAAAGAAATTGCTGTTGGATCCTTACTGCTCTCTATTCCAAATTGAAAAGCTCAGGACAATTTTTATCCCTGACATAAATGCATAGCAAAGTATCTGTTGAGAAGATATGGGAAGGAAGCACAGAAACAGAGACAAGACTAGGTTAGAAGGGACCTCCTGACACCATCTGATCCAACTTCCCATTAAAAACAGGATCTTAGATTAGATTAGGTTAGTTGAGGGTGAATCAATTTACATCTTTATTATTTCTAGGGAGAAAGATTCCGTTCTCTTCAGGCAACTGATCCTAATGTTGCTCTCACAGAAAAAAAGTTTTTTGATATTCACATGGAGCTTCCCTAGAACTTCCCTAGAAGCCAGTTTGGCCCATTGCTTTTTCTCCTATCATAGTGCACCCTTGTGAAGAGATGCATCTCCTCCAGAGCTACTTTTTAGGTATTGGAAGGCAGTCATTTGATTTTCCCACACTAAGCCTTCCCTCTGAGCAAGTGAAGTTCATTTATTTGTAAAGTTCTCCACTCCCCTAATCTTTTTGGTCCCCTCTGGACCATCTCTAGGCTTTCAATGTCTCTGGAACTGGGAAGAAAGAAACTGAACAGTGTGTTCCAGGTATGGCCTAACAGGTGCTGAGCTGAGTAGAAAGATCACATCTCTTCATTTACCAGCAATAGTCTCACTAATTCAGCCCAGGATGCTGTTGGCCATAATTGCTGCCAGGATACTTGGCTGGCCCGTGTTCCTCTTGCTGTCTGCCAAGACACCCTGTGCCTTTTCAGCAGAGCAACTGTCCAGCCAGCCAGTGCCCAGCTGGTGCTCCTGCTTGGGATTATTCCATCCCAGGTTCAGGACTTGACATTTATCTCTGCTGAACCTCATGTTAAACTTCATTCTTGTTGGCCAAATCTTGACAGCCCATTGAGGTCTCTATATGGTGTTTTTTTCTTCCAGCACTGTTACCTCTTCACCCAACTTTGGCTCATCCTCAAGTTTGGTGACAGTGCATTCAGGCCTACCTTCCAGACCACTTATAAAGCTGAATTGCATTGACTTCAGAAGAAATTAATTTGTGCCCAGCTGCCAGCATGATTTTGAGCCTTTTAACTTTTGAGCCTCTGAACTCAACAGAGTTCCGTTCCTCAGCCGTTTTGTGTTTCATCTGCCCAGACCACATCTTACTGACTTGTCAAAAAGGATTTTGAGGAAGGCTGTGTCAAACACTTTGTGAAAGTCAAGCTGATGATGATATCCACTACTTTCCTTTCTTCTACTGAGCACGATTTTTGCTCAAACAAAAATTGACCCTTCAGTTTGCCCACATTGGCTTTTCACATTCAGGTTCTTGAAATGTGTTTGCATGGATATAGCTTTTGTAAGGACCTGTTCCATCATTCTCTCAGGGACTGAAAAAAAGCTGACTGCTCTGCAGTTTCCTGGATCCCTTCTGGCCCTTTCTGTAGGTAGACATAGTCTCCAGACGGGAAGATATCTCCCAACAAACCTGTTTACTCTTTTGTTTTTCACTCCCCCATCATGGGGAAATAATGTGTTTGACACCAGACAAATGGCTTAAAGCACTGTGGATGTCAACATGCATAGAACAGAAGATCCTTGTGTGTGTTGATACTAGTGCAAATTAAAGAGAACAAAATCTGGGCTGGAAAGGACAGTAGTTCATGGTGACATTCGGTCATCACTAAATTCTTGTTGATGATGCTCTTGTTGATGGTGAAATAATCCTGTCTGCAGATCTAGGTGAACTAAAGTGCAGTTCTCTAGCTTGAGCTAACTTTAATACTACTCTTCCAAGTTTCATTTAGCAGGGACTGGTCTTTGGCTTGCATACATTCAGCAGTCAGGATTTTGGCCTCTCTGCCAGTAGCTGGAAGCCAGGTCTCTCCAAGGAGTGAGCTTGGTTTCAAGGGACTGTTGTGATATTTCATGCAGCTGACTGGTACTGTGATGATGGGGTCCTTGGATGGAGTTGTCACCTCATGAGATGCAGCTAGAGTTCTTTTAGGTGAAAGGTATGTGTAGAGTTTGCACAGACCAGAGCAATAAGTGGCCTAGTTTTGGACTTACATTGATATCAATAATTATATATATCCATATATACATATATACATCGTTTAGTCAGTGGAGTGATTTGGCATGATTACCCCAAAATACAGCAACGTACTCTCTCAGACTTGTACTCTTCTTTCATGTTCCAAAACAAGATATACATCTTTAGCTCAGACATTTCAGTTTTGAAATATTAGGAGATATCCATTGATACTGTAGTAGTTGTATTGGAACCTGAGTTTTTTTGCATTTTAATAATCACCACATTAAATAGGAAATGCCTTCTCTCCACTGCCAAAGGATGGGTTTTTCTGCTTCAGCTGAACAAGTGCCCAAGTCCTTCATATATCAGCTGTTGGTGGCTCACAGTCTGGCTTCTGAGAAGAGCAAGAGGAGGAGAGCAAGGGCTGAATAGGAAGTTGTCGAAAGACCAGGAAGGTTCATGTGAGGCCTCTGAATGGGACTATCCTCCCAGGCAGTGATTTGTTAACATTCAGCTGCACATGGGTGTCCTTCTTCTGCCCCAATGGATTCAAATTTAAAGGTATAATTGTAATTACAATTGTAATTGTCAGGCAATTGGCATGACATTGCTTAGCACTGTTATTAATATTCACAGGGCAGGTAGCTATGTGTCTTCCCTTTAGTAGAGTGGAAACCCAGCATGGCATCCACCTCTGTAAATACCAACTCCAAGTTATTTCAAGGTTCTAAGAAGGAAAGTGTTCTTTTATTCCTAATTTTTCTGTTCTATTTTTTTTTTTCCTCCTCACTAGAATTACCTGTTTCTGGTCTGTCTGGAAAGGGTCAATAGAAAACAAGATTCCATTGGAACATTGAAACATGTCATTGCAACACCCGTGGTCAGTGTTATGTGAGTATACATTAATAGTCAGCTGAGTCTAAATAAACATGCAGAATGCCTGGTTTTGGCCGAGCAAGAAGTGGCAGCTGTTTGCACTGGTGTTTCCTCCATGCTGTGGGCTACCTGCTGGCTTTGCAGAGGTGGAACAGTTTGGGTGTCATTTGCTTGAAGCACTTTGTCATGCCCTCCCACAAGCCCTCCTTCCCTCTGTCTGGCTGCTTGCAGGTTTTCAATGAAAGGCCCTGTTCACACATGGACAACCCAAATGATCTCTAAATAAACCAGTATATGTGGAGAGTAATTCATGAGCATTTCCAGCACGGTGATAAATGGCAGGCAGGGCCAGTGTGTACAAGGTGGCCCCCCAGGCATGTGTCTCCATCAAGTTGTGCAAAGACAATGTAGAAGGGTGTTTAAACCTGACCTTAAAATAAGAGCTGTGTCTTTTGGAGCTTTAGAGACCAGATTGTAAGTGGCAGACATGCAGTATTTGATCTGTCACTTCTTGTCTAACATTTTATTTCCAGAACTTGACACATACTTTATGTTTTACTCCCTATTTCTCCCCATATGTCTACCAGTCTACTTCCTGAAAAAACAACAGTCACCTTAGCGTCTTAAAGACACTTAAACAGACAGGTGTGATAAATAATTACAATAAATTTGAAAAGTTTATGAACTGACCATCTGTTTTCCAGCCCTTGCTGACAAAATTCTAGAAGTGCAGTTGAGCTTTGCCTTAGCAGATGCTATTCTTCTGTGATGACCAAGAGAGAGAAGAAAAGTCTGCAAATCCAAGAGCTGTAGGAGGTTGTGGCCAGGTTTATCCCAGCAGATTAAATAGGGACAAGGCATAACCCTGGGCACTGGTGTATACCTGTCCATTCTGTAAGCTGTTAGCACAGCTCCAGCCCCAGCTAGAGCTGCTCCAGACAGTCCCTGGGCACCATCTGCGGATGCACACTGGCCAGAGGCCATCATCAGTAGTAATTAGGCAGCAGGCACCTTGTTCTGGGGATGTGAAAGAGCTTGGCTGTCTGGATATGAGCAGTTGGGTAGCTGGTTCCAGTGCCAAGGGATGGAACCAACTTGTCTTATTTACATGTATGGACAAGATGAAGGTTTTGGAATACAGGAGCCTCAGTGGTGAGGTAGAACAGATGTGAATTTTGCAATTTCTATTAGACTTTACTGCTTTCAGATACTGTCTCTCTTGAAAATCCTGTACTTGCTGAATTTCTATTATTGCTCTCACATGACAAGGAAGGAAAGAGACCCTTGGACTTCAGACAGTAGACATAAAATAATGTGGAAGAAATGTTAAATGACAAGAGGAGTTTTGTTCTGGACTACAGAAAACTGTAGGAGATTCATAGATCACTGATGATACAATTAGAAAGTGTGGTATATCTTCCTATTTGTGAGAAGAAGAAGAAGAAGGCACAGAAGGAAAGACAGCTCAAAATTATGAGAGTATTAAACACAAATGGTATGCAACCTGATGTGCAGTGTCTTACTTGTCACATAGTAGTGTCTGTGCTATACCTGTATACACATCTGTACTAGTGTCTGTTTTATTATTAGGAATAATAAAAGGCATCCACTGTAGTCAAACTGGTCATGCTTGTTGTTGAAAGAATTACTATTTTTCTGCCCTTAAAATTCCTTAAAATTGATCTCATTCAGTGCTGTAAAGCTCATCCTTCATAAATGAGCAGTCTTGTAATCCAGCACAGATGAGTTATAGATGAAATGTATTTTTGCCCATTATGTCAATGCATTGCCTGTACTGGGGAACCCAACATTGAACACAATGCTCCAGATGCAATCTCACAAGTGTCAAAATGAGAAATGAAACTTTAACTTACACAGTTTTCTGACCATAGGAAGTAGCCTGGTTGGTCAGCCAAGAGATCAACATCACTCTGCTTGTCTACACCGACATGATGCGTTATCTCCAGAGCAGCTGGCATGTCTTTGGCTAAGGCACTAAGCTGAGACATGTGCCTGGCTTGAAAAGTAGAGGGTGGACCTTGGTCCTGCCTGTTTGTACCACACTGATGTATCTTTGTGTCCCGTTGAAATGGAGTCCCATGAGCATAAGATGCATGGTCTAAACAAAGAAGGAGGCAACAGGGATTATTTTAGTATCACAGAGGGCTTAGTGTATAGGATGGTTCTTTCTCTGTCCTGAATGTTCTTTGAACCTATTTCTGTGTTCATTCAGTTTTTTGAATCTCCTGCTTTTTAATAAAACCAGACCTGAAGAGACATGCAGCTTGACTGAGGTGCTGCGCTGTAGCTGAACTGCTCTGGTTAGAAGAGCTGCGAAAGTGTTTGCAGCACTTGCAGAATGGTAAAGTGAAGAACCAGGTGAATAAATGAGTAGCCCTAAATGCTGAAAATGAATGCTCTGTGATGGATTGAGGGGCTGGGGGGAAAAATCCCCCCTTTCCTTGCTTTGCATCCTCTCACCCCCCGTCCTTTCATTATGCTCACCAGTGAAGGGGGAGTTACAAAGCTCTTGTCGTGTTCCCAAATGTGCACTGAGCAACCCGAGTGCCTCTCCTCTCAGGCTGGGAGGTCTGAGCACTGCCAAAATCTTCTGGCCCCCTCTCCCAGCCTGAAGCTTTGAACGAATATCGTTGGCTCCATGACACTGCAGGTCTGTTGACTTGTGTTTGTATGTTTGTGCTGGGATGTGTGCACAACTCAAAAGCAGGTCTGAGGTTAAGTAAAGCCCCTTGCTTGGTGGGGAACCTTGATCAACATGTCACAGAACGTGACAACTTCCATAATGGTTTTTAAAAAATGTGTACAGGGTTAGCTGCCAGCTTCCAGGGAAGGATATGTGTAACCACTTGAAATATTCGACTTCTGAGCTCTGCCATCTTCTCCACAGCAGTTTTGAAGACTTTGTTTGATTTCTCTATGCCAGCCAGTTACTGTGCTATTTATCTGACATCTTTGAGTTTTGTGTGGCTTACTGAAGGGTTTTTCATGTCAGAGACTTAATATAGGCTTTAGTGTTCTGGTTTTTTTGCTAGTATTCTAACTGAGAAAGAATTGTTGGCTTTGTTAAAATTTTATATTATTTCTGTCTATATTTATGTCTCTCTTTATGGGCAGATATTTAGTACTTTTGAAAATTTACTCCTTTTATCATGTCTTAATTCAGGTATCTAAAACCATGGCCCACTTTGAATTTAGGCCAAACAGCCCTGCCATGACATGACACGGTTTTCTCTTGGTTGGGCACACCACTTAGCACAGATGAGTTTGGAGGTGAGTGTGATAAAAAGGTGCTTAGGCTGCAAGGATATAACAAAGTTTTGCCCTATGTACATTACTTGTAGCATACTCTTATGTCCCTCCAAGACAGGGCATGTGGATTGTGCTCTTTATGAAAGACCTGTATAAGCATTAAATGCTGGAAATAAACAGATGGTTGAGAATGATTTGCAGTCATTATGGACTTTTATTTCAGGAACAATGTGACTGCTGGGGTCAGTAATAATAACCAGAGTAGGCCTACCTCTCACATGCCCTCATAAACAAGTGTTGGGGTATTTAAATGAAAAGAGGAATACTTACAATGCACAAAGAAAGATTAGAGAGGCAGAAACCCAGAATGATACCATAACCTGCCCACCACCTTCTGAGGTCAGAGTCACCTTTTCTGCTAATATTGGAGCAATTTGCCACCAGTCTCATTTACTACATACTTTTCAGTAATGTACTTCTGCTATACATCTTGAAAGAGTTTAGTGTTAAACTGGTTCTCCCATCCCCTCTGGACCTCAGTGCAAATGAGAAATGAGAATCAGGTGAAAGGCTTACGAAAACAACTATTTTTGGCTTAGCCCTGATAGGACAACAATTCATTGTTCTGCTCCAATATTGTCAGTGTGACTCATCTGTAGAGGACTTTCTGGCCCATTTTCTTTAAAAATGTGCTCTATCCAGAGAACTGACTGGGACTTTCTAAAACTGGAAACACTGAAAAAGAACAGTTTGCCCGTTTGTTGAATGTTGGTTAACCCTTTCTATACCACCTGACCTCAAAAGCTAGAATATGTGCTGTCTTATGCAGGAAGGTGCTTTCAACCAGAAGCGTGTTTTTACAGACTTTTTTTCCCTTTTTTTCCAGGTGGATGGGGATTGTGGAGAGATCAGGTTTTAAGGCTGTTGTGGAGACTTAGTTCAGGTGTCCTCAGAGACTGGATAGCTGATGGCTGCTTCATCTTGGGAAGAATGGTCAAGACTGGATAATACCACTCTGAACCTCATCTGGCCTCTGGTGGTACCTTGCAAGCCTTGGGTTTCAGAGGATTTCCCTGGTGTTTGAGATTCCCAAAGCATGAGGACTGCTGCTGAGCTTTGAGTGTGCCACCACTGACAGAAATGTGATGCTTAGCAAGAGCCTGGAGATATTTCCTCCTTTAGTCCCTTGTCTAGGATGCAGATATGCCACTTTTCCCCAAACTGGGAAGATGTTTTCTTTAGTCACTCAATACCAGAAAACAATGCATTGGAGAGCAAGGGTTAGGGAGAGCTCAGTCTTGCCATCTTCCCAGCGAGGATATGTCCCTTCCTTTTCACTTGTGTGTTTTCCCTGAAGCTACAAACTCAGGTTGCAGTTGGATTTACTTAGTGTAACACTGAATAATCTCTCTTTCAAGGGCTTTAAGTACTACACTGAATTAGGACTTTAGAAAGGTAAAAGCCGAGCTCCCTTTGCCAAAAGAAGCTTCCATTCATAGTCAGGAAGTGATCTGACATGGACACTGATGACCTGCTTTGTTATCTGTATGTGAAATCTGGCTCTGCTGAAACCAGTGGCAAAACTGCCATTGATTTTAAGAGTTCTGAATTTCATTTTCTGTATGTTTATTTGCATTACTTTTTTTTTCCTGCAATGTCTGATATGTAGCCATAGAGGTCAGGAGGAAAATATGATATGATTGAGACACAGTTTCCATTATGGTAAAGGGTGGGCAGATGTCACTGTGGGAAGATACATTCAGAGTTTTGCCTGGCACTTTGAAATGCTTTTAATTTTTTCCTACCTGCCACGCTTCAGCCTTCGAGGTTAAACTTGTGTATGAATGGCAGGTCTTATTATTTTGAGTGTTCTGTGTTTTTCTTCATTATTTAGACACCAAACTTGCAAAACATTCTTCTTAGCAGGGCAATTCGTCCTCTACTGGATCTTAATGAGACCAGTGCTTCCTTTCCTGGGAAGGTATGTGCCCCTGGTGAGAGAAGCTCACCTTTCTCAAACCACAGCTAAAGCTTGTTTTTTTCACAGAAGCACAAAGCACACAGCCACTTGTAAAGGTCAGTTTCCTTAGCATGAAGAAAATATACATTTTGTAAATGTGGGACAGACATGTTCTGATGTGGGTCTTGAACAGGGTTTCAGTATAGAGATAGCTCATCTTTAATTTATAGTTACATGCAATTGAACCATTCCAGGAAAAGCCATTTTGTGGTTCTTGGGTCAGGGAAGAAGAAGAAGGATAAAAACCTTCTACCCTAAACAATAATAGGACAAACAGGACAGATCTATGTTCCCTAAATGAAAACTTAGTAAAGAGCTCTTAAAATGTTTCTTATTATTAAAATCACTGAGAGATTTGTGCTAAAACTCTTTCGGGTATCAGCTCTTCTTTCTCTGGGAAAAAGAGAAAAACTCCTTTTTTTTTTTTTTTTGTTTGCTACCTCTGTTGCCACAAGCAAATTTAGTTAAATTCAGCTGGCAGCCAGTCACAGTGGTGTCCCCCAGGGCTCAGTACTGGCGCCCGTTCTGCTGAACCTCTTTATCAATTATACTGATGAGGGGATCAAGGGCACCCAGTAAGTTTGTGGACAGCATGAAGCTGGATGGGACTGGATCTGCCAAAGGGTGGGAGGGCTCTGCAAAGGGATCTGAACAGGCTGGGTTGATGGGTCGAGGCCAGTTGTATGGGGTTCAACAAGGCCAAGTGCCAGGTCCTGCCCTTGGGGCACCACAACCCCCTGCAGTGACACAAGGTAGGAGCAGAGTGGCTGGAAAGCTGCCCAGAGGAAAAGAACCTCTGATCAGCGGTGGCTGAACATGAGCCAGGGTGTGCCCAGGTGGCCAAGAAGGCCAATGGTACCTGGTCTGCATCCAAAAGTCTGTCCAGCAGGACCAGGGCAGTGATTGTCCCCCTGTGCTGGGCACTGGTGAGGTCACACCTCAATCCTGTATTCAGTTTTGGGCCCCTCACTGCAAGAAAGACACTGAGGGGCTGGAGTGGGTCCAGAGAAGGGCAATGGAGCTGGGAAAGGGGCTGGAGCACAAGTCCTGTGAGGAGCAGCTGAGGGAGCTGGGGGTGTTAAGCCTGGAGAAAAGGAGGCTCAGGAGAGACCTTAACACTTTTTACAATTCTGTGAAAGGAAGTTGTAGCCAGGTGGGAGTCAGTCTGTTCTCCTAAGTAACAAGTAATAGGACAAGAGAAAATGGCCTCATATTGTGCCAGAGGAGGTTTAAATTGAATATTAGGAATAGTATATTAATTTTTTCATGGAAAGGGTGTTCAAGCATTAGAACAGGCTGCCCAGGGATTTGGTGAAGTCACAATCCCTAGAGAGATTTAAAAGACATGTATATATGTTGCCCTTTAGGGACACGGTTTGGTGGTGGACTTGGAAGTGCTGAGTTAACGATTGGACTCAATGATCTGAGAGCTCTTTTCCACCCTAAAGAATTCTGTGATTTGAAGATGTAGCCACAGGTTTTAATCTGATTATGAGACCTGCTGCAGGAAATTCTCTGGCCTTTCTTGTGCCCAGTTTTGACTCAGTTGATTCAAAATGGAATTTTTTTGGCCTGAAAAGTCATCAATCATTTGAGTCCAGCCAAAAACTTTAGTCATGTGGTATGTTTATAGAGGGAGTTACAGTCTTTTAGGAGTCAAAAACATTTTATAAACAGTAATTGGTTCATGATTTCCTTCTACACATATGCAGCCACCACCAAGCATGAGGAATGTCTTGGGTTTTTGTAGGGGATATCAATAGCAAAGATGTATGTAGGCAGCACAAAGTCTTAAAAAAACCCTGAATTTTATCATAACTTTACATTCATCCTTCTAAAAGAGCTATGGGTTTTTTTAGGGGTCTGTACCTGTTGGTCTGTAGAGCACCAGCAGTAATCATAGAATTAGAGCATCATTAAGGTTGGAGAAGACCCCCAAGATCATCAACTCCAACCTTTGACAGAACACCACCATGCCCAGTAAACCATATCATGATGTTCCATGTCTACCCAGGGATGGTAACTCCACCACTTCCCTGGGGAGCCTTCCAATGCTTGACCATTCTTTCAGTAAAGAAATTTTTCCTAATGTCCAACCCAACCCTCCTTTCGTGCAACTTTGGGTCATTTCCCAATGTTTTATTTCTAGTTTTGATTGTTTTGGGGTTAGTGCTACTGTATCAAGAGTGGTAATACATGGCTGGATTATCATTACCTTGGCCTGGAATACCTCAGTGCTCTTTGATCAGCATTTGGGTGAGAGAAATTTCATTGTAGCCCTTGTCTGGCACTGCAGGTGCCTGTGTACTGCAAACACAGCTGCGTGTGTGCAGCGCTGCCTCTGTGCCTGTCCCTGCTCAGACCAGCTGCCTCGGGCCCCTTGCTGAAGGCTCTCACCTCAAGCAGCAGAGCTGTTCTGCACTGTGGTATAGTCAGCCTTTACTGATGCTCACCACGGCTTCTCCTGACAGGAGAATGGGTCCTTGGCTAATCTGTCAGAAATTGGCTTGTCCTAAATCATAGGAACAACGAAAAGCTTGTAAGGAAACCGCTGCACTATCTCTATCAGTCAGCCTTACTTCTATTACATGCAGCCTTGCTTATGTCTCTGACACTTTAAGGAATATTCAAATTCTGCTCTTCTTTTCTTTTTCTTCAGACCAACTGTCTTTGGGTCGGATCCAGACCCCAGTCAGTTTGAGGGAAGTCTTCCTAATGCTGTTGGCTGTCTTTGGATCTTCTCCATCGCTTGCACTGCTCTTTAGTAAATTGGAGGCACACGTTTGACTTTTTCTTAAAAAGCTGATCTCAGGTAGAAATCAAATAATTCCAGTGCAGCGCCTCAATGCTCTGCTTGAAACAGATCTGTCAGAGGGTTGCTCACCCCAAAGAAAGAGATAACAAAAGAAGGATTTTCTCCTGAATATAGTATGGTTTCTAATATTGTCTATTAAATACAATCCAATGGAAAATATAAAAGAGAAAGAAATATTTTTGTGCTGCTTGCTTCCTCTGCACCACAGACAAATTCCACAGGATCAATTACTTACACCCCTACTTGCTATAATAAAATACCTAAAAACGTAGTCAGATCTCACCATTTAATATATGCCAACAGGGTGAAATGGACCAAAAGTCTACATCAGTACTGTCAAATATCTGTAGGAACTAAGGAAATAGGCTTCAAACCCTTACCCCAGAATCAGCAACGAATGTGGAGTTTTGTTTTGGAATTCTGGTTTTTTGTTTGTTTCGGTATTATTATTATTATTATGATTATTATTACCCTTATCACTGAGGAGGAGTCTTTTATAGAAATAGAAATATTGCTTATTTCTGGCCTACAGGCCTGAGGTCTAAATTAACAGAGCAGCTGATTTCCCAAAGGGATGGAAGTCCCAAAGGGATGGAAGTCCCAAAGGGATGGAAGAGCACAAAGGGAAAGGGTCCTTGATGGTGGCTTCATGGAGAAACAGGAAAAGCACAGAGAGATCTCCTAAGGAGCCAGCTCCATGGTGCCTCCTCCATGTCAGGGTTTGTGCCTGGCTCACCGTGCCATTGTACCCCAGCTTTGGAGCAAAGCATCACTGGAGAGGACAGCATGTGAGAGCTCCTGGCCAAGTGTGTCTGGAAAATGGGACAGCTGCCACCAGTCACTCCAGGTGGATGGGATCAGCTGCTGAGGGAGCACCTGAGCTGGAAGTGGGATCTCTAGGACTCCAGGTGTTCTCCATCTGGGCTGTACCTCCTGGTGCCTGGCCATGTGCACAGAGTGGTTCTGGTCCTCAGATCAGATGGGGCTTTCCAAGAGCACTCAGGAGCCTTCACTGGAAGAGGGCAAGCTGAGAAAGATGCAAAGTCAGCTTCTGCTTGGGCTGAAAAAAAATTCAAAGAGGGCAACTGTATGGGGTGGGTGGCAGGTTTGAGGGGTAGAAGGTAGTGTGATGGAAGTGTGGCTTGGTGTTCCCCTCCTTTCCCTGAAGAAAGGGTTTCATGTCTTTAATTTGGTACTTCATGAAATGAATCTTGCCTGTGTCAGAGGCGATCTCAGCTGTTCTCCAAGACATCTGGGCTGGGACTAGTGCTGATTTTACTGCTGCTCTTCAACAGAGACCTTTAGAGGCTAAACCTGACCCTTTGAGGCTCAGCAGAGATGTTACAAGTGAGTTGTGTCTTGCTTTTGAAGGCCTTGCTGGAGCCTTTGGATGCTACTGAAATGCTTACATATAATAACAACAACAAGGGCTTCTCCATCTCCTTGTGCTGAGTGGGATGTTCTCTTTTGGAGATGGCAGCTGTGTCTGCCTGGGAGAGGACTAGATTTAACACAGGGGAATGATTGGAAACTGGTAACAAATGTGTGGATACTCCAGTCCTTTTCCACAGAAAACCTGAAATCTAATAGAATTTTTTATTTATTGTTTTATTTTGGCTTGCTTTAAGGTCTTATTATATTACAGCTACAGGGATGTAATTGAGAATAATATTGAATGTGGTCAACTTTGTGCACACTAAGGATGTGATGAAAACAGCAGATACTGTAAAAACCCTTAAATAGTTCTGTCAGTCTCTTGAAAAAGAGGAAACTTGGTGTTTTCTAACCAGTATTTTCCTATCATGAAATAGGATTGGGGGATTTTAGAGGATGATAAATTGACTATGAGTCAGTGGGGCAACATTGTGCTAAAGGATCTGCTGTACTGTGCTGCAGATAATGTGGTGTGTACTTCAAAAACTAAATAAAAACTACCCAGACATTCAATTTTCCACTTTCTTCAGCACTGACTGGGCCACAAGATGCAGTTTAGGTCTTCATGTTGTAGAATTGGACAAGTGACAGTCCAGAGCTGAGACCACAGCAGTTGTGGAAAATGAGAATCAGCATTTTTGCAGAGGAGGGTGCTTCCCTGATGGGAAGAGAAGTGAATGAGGACACCTCATGACAATTACACACATAAACACTCAGACTCTGCAGCAAGACACCTGATCATCAGAGATGCTCTGTCTCCAGGACCATGCTCTGTATGGGATTAGAACTGCAAAGAAACAGCAAACAGAATAGCATGAGACCATCTCAATGCAAAAATGGAGACCCAGCTGCTTTGTTCTGTTGTTATTGCATCTGTTCCACACTGCAAGAAGCCTGATACCTACGTAGCCAAATACAGTCAGCAAAGCATCCTGTGTGGTTTAAACCCAAATTCTTGGGGAAGAATTAATCTGAAGGGCGCATTTTTATTGTCTGGACTGGCAAACAGCTGATATGATGAGAAGCCTGTGGTAGTGCTGAAAGCTCACAAAAGTATTTCAGAAGCATCTTAATTCATGGCTCATATCTCAGTTTGTGCCTCCACATTACCGGTTGCTCTACACTAAATCTTTCAGCATTTGGGCCCAGCTGCCTCTGCTCTTTTCAACAATGAAGATGAGGGTCACTTCTTCTCA